TAGAAATTCCTGTTTTCACAGCTAGAATTTTTTTGCATTACAGCCGGCGCCGTTGAAAGCCTACTTATTCAAAGTGGGCGAATTTTAAAAAAATCCATATCTCGAAAAGAAATCGAGCAAAGTATCAAGTATGCATGAAGTATGCTATATTTTTGAAAATGTAATTTCAATTCTTTTCAATAAGTTAAAAATATATAGGGTGTACCATATAAAAAATCAAATTTTATGTTGATAATTCTTAAATTATTAATTTAAAAAATATATATACTTAAACTATTAAATTCTACGTAAAAATGTGCTTTGGAAATGTTTTCATAAAAATACAAAATTTTTCATAGCAAAAAAAGTTGTTCAAAATGCACATTTTTGAATAACACCCGGTATAACACACGGTAACAGATATCGATATGCGATTTTCACCATCATGTTTTTGATAAAATTTGAGCTCCAGACACCGATATTAGTTTTCGTCTATCTCCTATAGAAAAGGGTGTTTCTCTTTAAAAGCGTCCAATTTGACCCACCCTGGGAACAGTAGTGTAAACTCTGACAGTTGATAGAACTAGCCTTGATAAATATCATAACCTTACTACTGCTGTGATGCAATAATACTTGGACAACCCCGTAACTAAATGATTGCTACAAATTAAATTACAGAAAAATATACGAAATACAATATCGTACACGAACGACGAATAAAAATTTATATTCCGTTACAATTGATATTCCGTTCTGTCATCACGGATATTCCCTCGAAAATAAGAAAGAAAAAGAAAACTAATTTTATGTACACGCATTTCTTCGCACATCAATTTCCTCTATTTCCTGGGGACCGGTGCTTATACGTTCGAGGTCATCCCTTAAATAAATATGGTTAAAAAGGACTTTTGCCGGACGATCGGAGAGAAAAAACATCCTTTCGATAGATAGGGCGACCTTCGTACAAAATTATGGGAAATATTATTTTTCCTTCTTTTCCTTTCCCTTTTTAATCATAAATATTATAAATAATACTGGTTTGATCAATAAGATTTTTATTCAGAGTTTTTATATATTTCCCTAAATGGTAGCCCAAGTAGCATTTTCACGACTTGCGACCACATGTTTACTAAACACAACGTTGGATTAGTTACAAAAAATAGTTAGCTCCCTACCTTGGGTATTAAAATAAATTTAAACGTTTTTATAACGTTGTGCCGACGTTGGACTAGTACTACAGCCAAGTAGAAGCTTCTGCGACGTCGAATAAACGTTGTCTTGTAACCTTTTTTGCTTAAGTGATCTTTAGGTGATTCGGACAACGTAGTTACAACGTTGGACAATATAGAGTTTTCCGACGTCAGTTTCAGGACCTATTCCAACGTTATGCAAACGTCGTCTGTTTTACTAATTCCAACATTGTTTAGATTTCCTTATTCTTACGTTGGTAGGACATCGAGTCACTACCTTTTTGCAACTGTATTGAACCATAACCTTAAATCTTAAATTTTCACTTCATTGTTCTGTTCAGTCAGACAGTTCAGTGCTGTTTTTGTTTTTATAAAAAAAACTTAATTAAAATGGGACATCAGAAAGGTACATATAAAACTAAATTTAAATATACATAGACATATATTACCGATAGTTTATCCACTCTCTCCTTTGTTTAGATTATAGAGGGCGGCACAAGCTAGACTCTAGGATGACTAAATTAGGCAATCTTGCGACTAGTATACTACCTGTTAAGGCCGAACTGCGACATTATTAGGCCAGTATGCGACTACTCGAACTACTCCATCTTAATCTCCAAAACAACAAAGTGAAAGCCGCCATGTTGTTAAATAAGAAAATTTTTCGTTCCTAAAATAGCAATTCCTGGTTTTTGAATACATTAACTTGAAATATTTGACCCTAAAAAACACGCGGAAACAATTTTTTCGACTGCGAATAAATTATTCTCATTTTACTAAAAAAAATCAAGAAAATTTTTAAAACTTCTTTAATTTTAAGGCCCATTAGTATTTTTCAAAGTAGAAACAATACATTTATCAATAAAGTTGTTTGCGTTTAACTTTTTTGCCTTGGGTAACGAGTTACAGAGTCGGTTAAAGTGTTTCAATAATTATGATCTTCAAACATCCTCCACACTTAAATACTTTTGTTTTGTTTTCCTTCACTGCCATCTGACATATGTCTCTAACTAAATCATAAAAATAATATTTTTACTATAATTATCCCAATTTAGGATAAAACGCGACTTAGACGCCATATTAGTTTTGTATTTCTGTAAATTGGGATTTTAAACAACGTTGCAGTTTGTACTAAATTAGGCTTCCAGCCAACGTCGGTATCCAACGTCGTTTCGACCCAAAAATTATTCTCCAAACTAGTGCAGACTAGGGTTGGCACGAGGTTGTGCCGACGTTGCGCCCCGACTTTGGTCGCGTGACACAACGTTGTCCCGACGTCCAAATGCTGCTTGGGAGGCTATTAAGATCGGCAAAAAAAATTTATTTCACTCAAAATGAGTTATTTAGGTCATAAATGACCTAAATACAAAATATTTTCATGGTGTCTGTCTGTCTGTCGGTCTGTCTGACCGTCTGTCTGTCCATCGTAACACGATAACTCAAAAAAATACTGTGGCACCCGAGAATCTGGCCATTAGTTTTTGGTGGGGGTGGAGGGTTGGTAAGAGGGTATGGTAGGGGGTTAAAAATTTAAAAAAATAGTAACTCCAAAATTACAGCGAAACGCGGTTTTCAAATTAAGATTAGGAATAATATTTGCAACAAAATTTGTAATAACATCAAAATCAGTCAAAGTCGCAGGTTTTGAGATATTAACATATATTAGTATGGGCGGCTATACGTGCCTCCCGGCGCCAATTTTTTTTGGTACATGTTAAATACACAAAAATCTATAATAAACTTTTTCTAAATCTACCGTAATAACAAATCAAATTAGAATAAAAACAAACAAAATAAAAGACTAAGATTTTATAAAAAAATCGGCATTTTAAACTTGTTAACTTTTGACATTTTCTCATATAGTTTATTTGAAATTGTAACATATGGTTTATAACGACAATTTCACTCGAAATAACAAGTGTATGGTACCAAATTATTCGTAAAAAAATGCTTTTTCCATATATTTGCTAATGAGCCAGCCTCGTTCCATTTGAAAAAATTGAGATATGATTAGAAATACGATTTGGACATCTTTTATCCGGTCAGGACAAGATACAAAAACATTAGACGATCAAATCTATTTTTCCAAGGCTCCTTGATTAAAAATTAGTGTTTTAAACACAGCCATGGCACGCAAGATTGAAATTTCTTCTTCTTCTTCTTCTTCTTCGTCGTCTCTTCATGTCTGAAGAATCGTGACATTATGGCTATGTGCAGTTGGTGATTTTGATCTTCCATCGTTGGTGATCTTCCGCCTCTAGGAGATTTGATTGAAATGGATGACCTGTAATATTTGCTATTTGGTCAAACCATCTCGATAGTGATCGTCCTCTGGGTCTTCGGCCTTCTACTTTGCCTTGTACTATGATTTTTACAAGGTTGTCTTCTCCTCTGCAAGTGATATGACCGAAGTATTGCAGGATGCGTCTACGGCAGATGGTGGATAATCGATCTGTGATGCCGAGTTTAGTAAGAATTGACTGGTTGGTTCTTCGAGCTGTCCATGGGATAAGGAGCATTCTCCTCCAGCACCACATCTCAAATGCGGTTTCTATCGGTCTCTATCAGCGCTCTTGACGGCCCATGACTCAGACCCGTATAGGAATATGGAGAACACCAAAGATCGAACAAGGGTCTTGGATCTTGGGGATTGAAATTTAAAATACGATTTTTTTCAAGCAAAAATGTCAAAAGTGAACATATGATATGTCATTCTATTCAGAGTGACATTTTCTATCAAATAAAGTAAAAAAATACCAAGGGTGCCATTTAAAAATCAAATGTTGTAATAATTTCCGGTGAAGCAGAAAGTGACTCACAATTGAATGCGTCAATCAGTCCTAATTTATGTCAAATACTAGCATACCAAATCTCGTTCTTTTATCTGAAAAAATAAAAAATTATAAGGGTGAGTCACTTTTGAGGCGCATCCGGTATAATATTTTAGAAAATTTCTAAAATATTTATTTCATCGGTTCAAATTGCCACCGACTTCTTTTAAATCCTATTATTTTCACTATACTTTTTGACCATAAAAATAATATCCCATTTCATATAAATTTCTTTTAAGCGTTCAAAAATACTTTGAAAACACCCTTTTTGAAGAAAAGAAATCTCGTAGCATAAATAAAAAGCCCTTTAGGGTTATTACTATGTTACTGGAAAGATAGTTTAGCAAAATATATTTCCATAAAAAAAGATAAATGATTACAGTTATAATAAAAGGAAAAACTCGTAAATAACGGACGGTTTATTTTTTCCGGCAAAAATTTCCGTCAGAATTGAAATGTTCCCCTCTAAAATAATCAAAATAGATTTTCTTTCGCGAAAAACTCATAGACGTGCCTGGGGTCGCAATATACGTCCCCTAAAAATGTTTGAACTTATTTAAGACTCACTTATTTAAGACTCACTCTGTATATCATACCCTCAGAGAACGATCTAATGACCAGCAAAATGTTGTTGATAAAACAGTTTTAGTTTTAATAAATATCCTGGAATTTCTAAAATATTCCATCACTTCAAATTGCCATCAACTTCTTTAAATCCTATTATCTTCTTAATTTATTATAAATTTCTTTTTAACGTCAAAAATACTTTCAAAACACCCTTTTTGAGGAAAATAAATCTCGTAACATAAATAAAAAACCCTTTAGTGTTATTACTAAGATAGTGTGGCAAAATATATTTCCATAAAAAAAGATAAATGATTACAGTTATGATAAAAGGAAAAACTCGTAAATAACTGACGGTTTATTTTTTCCGGCAGAAATTTCCGTCCGAATTGAAATTCTTGCCTCTAAAATATTAAAAATAAATTTTCTTTTATAGGTATTCGACTCGCGCGGTCGATTCCTGAAGGAATTCGGCCAGTACGGAAGTGGAGAGGGCGAGTTCGACTGTTTAGCTGGCGTGGCCGTCAACAGGATCGGCCAGTACATAATAGCCGACAGATATAATCATAGAATCCAGGTAAGTGTGACATAACATCGACATTACGTTTTAGGTACTTAAAAATGTTAAGACATAAAATCGACATTACAATATTACGAATACAGGGCGTCCCATTTTCGTATGTTTTATGCGGTTTCTCGTTGATGAGTAGAGATTAGAGATGAGCAAAACTGCGATTCTCCAATCGCAATTGAAACTGCAATTGCAATTTTTAAATTGCTGCGATTGTAACCTGCAATTGCGATTTTAATACTTAAATATTGTACTAGGGATATAATTGTCTGTGTATGTACCTAGAGCCTGTTATAGCTTAACAGTTAAAAAAAGTTAATAAAAATCAGTTGTTTAGTGTTTAAGTTTTTTTAACATCTGACAATTTGACTAGAAATACCAAATGTGTGGTACCAAATTATTCGTACAAAAATGCTTTTTCTAAGTAAGGTAATGAGCAACCTTCGTTCCATTTGAAAACATTGAGATATGATTAAAAATACGATTTTGGGCATTTTTTAATCGGCCAGGACAACAAACGAAAAACAATAGACAATCTAATCTTTTTCCAAGAATCCTTGGTTAAAAATTAGTGTTTTTAACACCGCCATGGCACTCTAGATTGAAATATAAAATACGATTTTTTTAAGCGTAAATGACAGAGTATTATTGTGCGCGTTCAGGGAACACAGCCGCTGATCGACCGTTGAGAATTTTGCTCAGCGGCTGACTGTTTTTGTGTGTAAAAATAGACCGTTCAGGGAATTCGCTACAACCTAACCTAGCCACTCAGCCGCTGACCGTCCCTGAACGCTCACATTTTCTATCGAATAAAATGAAAAATCAAAAGTTGTAGTCATTTCCGGTGAAACAGGAAGGGATCGAAACGAATTGCATACATTCAATCAATCCTAATTTATGTCATATATGCTAATATACCAAATCTTTTTTTTTATCAGAAAAAATAAAAAAGTTATAGGGGGCGAACTACTCTTCAGAAACACCCTGGGATTGAATCGCTATTTGTTGCTCATCTCTAGTAGAATTACAAAAATGTAGTTTTCACATTAATGTGCTATTTTTTTCATGAAACCAAAGTTGTTACACACAGATTTGTCCTAGAGCTCTTAGTTCCTGAAATAGGGCAAATTTGAAAATTTTCAATTTTTCGACCCTCTTCGTATCGCGGTTATCCTATAAGTTATCGAAAAGGTAAAAGCTAAGTACCGTGGAGTTTTTTAAGGAGTATCCAGTGGCGTAACTAGTTTTTCGCTGAGAGCTGTCATTTTCGAAATAAGACTTTTTTTATTATTTACTTTTTGTTAAATGGGGCACCCTGCCTATCCTTTTATTTTATTTATCCTTATCTATCCTTTTATTTTATTATTATTTGTCTCATTATGAGATTATGAGCTAAAAATATACTATACTCTATACTTTTTTTATTAAATAAGGTAAAAATGCATGATTTAACTTTTTGACATAAGTCAACGTAGTTAAAGAGTATTATTATATTATATATTTAATTTAATTATATAATTGTGCTTTCCATCGTGTTTTCTTAATAAACTACTTGTACAACAATTCTACACAGAAAAAACGTGAAACAGGCAATAACCAAAATTTGACATCGAGTAAATTACTTGTTTTGATTACCTAACCAACCGCCTATGTTAAAAGGTTAAAAATGCATATTTTTATCTTATTTATAAAAATTAGCATAGAGTATGTTATATTTTTTGAAAAGCTCATAACAAGGCAAATAAAATAAAAAAATAATAATATACAGGGTATTTCATTTAAAAAAAAAACATTAGTTTGGGTCATATTTCAAGAATGACCTATTCTACCTGAAAAACTATATAGGTATCGGACTCAGTTTTGATCTTTTCAATCTATACTAATATATAAAATCCTTAAGTGACTGACATACTGATTAATCACGATCCTGCTCAAACCACTCAACGTAAGAAGCTCAATTTTGGCCTACAGGTTGATTCTAGGGTGTAGAGGTTCGATAAGAAGAGATTTTTCGAAATTCCAGTTCCAAGAGGGTGAAACCACCCCACAAATATTACAATATTTTTTATTTAAAAAACGGTTAAGTTTCCGAAAAAACGCTTAAACACGTATATTTTATTTTGTTTTTTACATATTTTAAATTTTTTAAAAATGTATACAAGGTGTTTCGAAAAATCTGGCCATTGATTGATCACGATCCTGCTTAAAGCGCTTGACGTAAAAAGCTGATTTTTGGAAAACAGATTGACTTTAGGGTGTAGAGGTTCGATAAGAAGGGATTTTTCGAAACTCGAATTCTAAGGGGGTGAAATCCCTCAAATATTAAAATATTTTTTATTTAAAAACCGGTGAGTTTTTCGGAAAAACTATATTTATTATATATAAACACGTATATTTTATTTTGTTGTTTTACATATTTTAAGATTTTTTATAAATTTATACAAGGTGTTTCATAAAATATGACCATGAGTTATCACGATTCTGCTTAAACTGCTTGACGTTTAAGGCTGATTTTTGGCAAACGGATTGACTGTGGGGTGTAGAGATTCGATAAGGAGGGGTTTCTCGAAATTCCAAGAGGGTGAAAACGCCCCTCAAATATTACAATATTTATTATTTAAAAAACGGTTAGTCTTTCTGGAAAACGCTTGGACAAGCATAATTTATTTGTTTTTTTTACATATTTTAAATATTTTTAAAAAATCATACAGGGTGTTCCAAAAAGTTGGGTAATTTCTTAACCACGATTCTGCTTAAACTGCTTGACATAAAAAGCTTATTTTTGGCAAACGGATTTTTCGAAAGTCAAATTCCAACGAGATGAAACTACCCCTCAAATATTACCAAGTTATATAATAACTAGTATGTACCCGCGACTTCGTTCGCGTCGAATTAATCATTTGTAATGGTGATGATAAAGCAAAGCAAGAATTTCCAATAACATACAAACTAAGATAAAATTTTCTTACATTTATGTCAGCATGAGAAAAAACAATATGGCGATATTATTATATAACTTGGTATAATATTTGAGGGGTAGTTTCATCTCGTTGGAATTTGACTTTCGAAAAATCCGTTTGCAAAAAATAAGCTTTTTACGTCAAGCAGTTTAAGCAGAATCGTGTTTAATCAATTACCCAACTTTTTGGAACACCCTGTTGATTGAATGAAACCCCCCATGATTTTTTAAAAAATTTCAAATTATGTAAAAAAACAAAATCAATTATGCGTGTCCAAGTGTTTTCCCGAAAGGCTTGCCGTATTTAAATAACAAATATTGTAATATTTGTGGGTCGTTTTCACCCGTTTGGAATTTGAAATTCGAAAAACCCCTCCTTATCGAACCTCTACACCCCACAGTCAATCCGTTTGCCAAAAATCAACTTTAAACGTCAAGCAGTTTAAGTAGAATCGTGATTACTCAATGGTTATATTTTATGAAACACCCTGTATAAATTTTAAAAAATCTTAAAATATGTAAAACAACAAAATAAAATATACATGTTTAAGAGTTTTTCCGAAAAACTCACCGGTTTTTAAATAAAAAATATTCTAATATTTGAGGGGTAGTTTCACCCCCTTATAATTCGAGTTTCGAAAAATCCCTTCTTATCGAACCTCTACACCCTAAAGTCAATCCGTTTTCCAAAAATCAGCTTTTTACGTCAAGCGCTTTAAGCAGGATCGTGATTAATCAATGACCATTAATCAATTTTTCGAAACACCCTGTATACGTTTTTAAAAAATCTTAAAATATGTAAAAAAAGAAAATAAAATATACGTGTTTAAGCGTTTTTTCGGAAACTTGGCCGTTTTTTAATTAAAAAATATTCTAATATTTAAGGGGCGGTTTCACCCCCTTAGAATTCGAGTTTCGAAAAATCCCTTCTTATCGAACCTCTACACCCTAAAGTCAATCCGTTTTCCAAAAATCAGCTTTTTACGTCAAGCGCTTTAAGCAGGATCGTAATTAATCAATGACCAGATTTTTCGAAACACCCAGTATACATTTTTAAAAAATCTTAAAATATGTAAAAAAAGAAAATAAAATATACGTGTTTAAGCGTTTTTTCGGAAACTTGACCGTTTTTTAAATAAAAAATATTGTAATATTCCACCCCCCTTTTTCCCCCTTAGGGGATGAATTTTAAAAAATCCTTCCTTATCTTACGTAAACATCATAAAAGGAACCTCTGTGCAAAATTTCAGCTTCCTATGGTTAAGGGTTTGGTCTGGACGTTGATGAGTCAGTGATGAATGAATCAGGACTTATTTATATATATTTATACAGATTTATATATATATATATATATATATATATATATATATATATATATATATATATATATATATATATATATATATATATATATATATATATATATATATATATATATATAGATATCGCCATATTGTTTTTTCTCATGCTGACATAAATGTGAGAAAACTTTATCCAGTTTGTATGTTAATGGAAATTCTTGCTTTGCTTTATCATCACCATTACAAATGATTAATTCGACGCGAACAAAGTCGCTGGTACACGCTAGTAAGTTATAAGATAACCGAGATACGATGAAGGTAAAAAATGCATTTTCAAATTCGCCCTGTATTTCAGAAACCAAGCACGTTAGGGCCTTACAGATTTATTGTGTGTTCCCCTCTGTTGATCATACAGTCTCAGGGCTTTGACAAAAGCCAGTATCTGAGACGGCTCCACAAAGGCCAGCTCTCAATTTCCGACATCAGCCGTACCAAAGTTTATGACTTAATGGCACGAACGGTTAATGTCTCGACGCACTCAGTGATAAGGTGTTCTAATGTTTATCCATTTTCCCCGCAGAATCTGCATTCGCCATTGTTTCTCAGCTTCAATCTAATGAGGTGTTCGTTGAGGAGGCAATGACCTGTTAGAAACCCCGTGACACTCCGAAGATGTTGATTGTTCTCTGTAATGCTTTATTGGCAAAAAGATCTAGATTCAGACCTCTTTGCCCTTCTTATCTCTT